GGCATCTTGGGACCCCTCGTTGAGGCCATCCTGGGGCTATCTTGGGCTCTTGGGCCGTCTTGGAACATATCAGAGGCACATTGGAGGCTATCTTGGGCCATATTGGCCGTCTCGGAGGCGATTGAGCCAACGGAGTTCGGTACTTCTTCACGTTATGCGGCTCTCTTAGGTGACCGTTGAGTTGGGTCGAAGCACCACGGTGAGTTCTCAAGAGCAGAGCCAACAACTTGCCAGGCATTCGGCACGCCGTGCACCCCTCTGGCAAGACCACAGGGGGCGGCGGATCGAAGACGCCCACGGCGAATCGGCGCCGCCCCCTGCCTGCCCCTTTGGAAGCGCCTCCGTGGCCGACAGCAGGGCCAGAGCTTGGCCAAGCTATCGGGCCAGCTGTTACCCGAGTCGGTTTGGAAAGACTGTCGAGAACACATGGGGGAGCAAAAAGAGGAGGAGGGTGAGGATGAGGAAACATGAGGAGGAGGAGGAGGAGGCCTCTTGGGCGCCTCTTGGGGCACTCTTGGGGCCTCCTGGGGGCTTCCTGGGGGCCTCTTGGAGGGTTTTTGGTTGCCTTTGGGGGCATTGGGGGCCTCTTTGGCAGTCTTAGGGCGGTCCTGGCTTGTCTGACGCCGTCGGAAGCCGTCTTGGGGGCCTGTCTGGCTCGTCTTGGGGCCCTCTTGGGGCATATCAGGGGTTCTTAGAGGCCATCTTGGGCGTCTTGGAGGCCTCTTGGGCCGTCTTGGTGCCTTCTTGGGGCCGTCTTGGCGGCCTCTTGGGCCGTCGTGGGGCCATCTTGGATGCCTCTTGGGTGATCTTGGGTGCCTCTTGCGCCCCATCTTGAGCCGTCGGAATGCAGAGAAGAAGCACATGCCAAACCCTTTCAAAAACTCTTCCACAATCAATGATGTTGCCATCTTCGTGCCCTCCTGGAAGGCCTCCTGGACGCATGTTAGGCCGTCTTGGAGGCCTCTAGGGGGCCTCTTGTGCCGTTTTGGGCCATCTTGAGGCCATCTTAGGCCGTCTCGGGTGCATCTTGCGCCGTCTTGGAGGCATCTTGGGGGCCATCTTAGCCGTCTTGGAGGCCATTTTGGCAGTCTTGGAGGCCTCTTGGGCCCTCTTGGGGCAGTCTTTGAGGCCTCTTGGGCCGTAATGGGGCCATCTTGGAGGCCTCGTGGGCGATCCTGGGGGCCTTTGGGGCCGTCTTGAGCCGTCGGAAGGCCGAACCGGCGAAACTGCCAAAATCCTTCAAACACTTTAGGAACATCAGTGATTTTGGCCTCTTCGGGCCCTCCTGGAGGACCTCTTGGAGGCCTCTTGGGCCGTCTTGGAGGCCTCTTGGGGGCCTCTTGGGTTGGGCCGTCTGAGGCCATCTGGAGGCCATCTCACGTCTTGGGTGCATCTTGGGCCGTGTTGGAGGTATCTTGGGGCCATCTAAGCCATCTTGGAGGCATCGTGGGCGTCTTGGAGGCCTCTTGGGCCCTCTCGGGGCCCTCTTTGGGCCCTCTTGGGGGCATCTTGGGGGCCTTTTGGGCCGTCATGGGGTCATCTTGGGGACCTCTTGGGCGATGTTGGGGCGATCTTGGGGGCCTCTGGGGCCGTCGGAAGGCCGAAAGGGCGAAACTGCCAAAATCCTTCAAAAAAAAACTCTCGGAACATCAATGCTTTTGACCTCTTCGGGCCTTCTTGGAGGACCTCTTGCAGGCCTCTTGGGCTGTCTTGGAGGCCTCTTGGGGGCCTCTTGGGCCATCTTGAGGCTATCTTAGGCCGTCTTGGGTGTATCTTGGACCGTCTTGGAGGCATGCTGGGGCCATCTTAGCCGTCTTGGAGGCCATCTTGGCCGTCGGGCGGCGGGCTCAAAGTGTAGTTCGTGTTTCCCCTCTTGGGCCTCTCTTGGAGCTGGCTCGGGTGTCTCCTGGGTCCCTTTTGGGGGCTCTTGCGCAGTCGTTGGTCGATCTTGAGCGCCTTTTGGGCCGTCTGGGGCGTTCTGACGACTAAAAATGAGGTAACGCTAAACCATGCAAATCAACATTTGATGTTGACGATTCGGATATCATGGGCCGTCCTTCAGGGCCTCCAAGACCGCCCAAGAGGGCTCCAGGACGGTCCTCGGGTGCATCTTTGGTCATTTGGGACATGTATGTCCCGAACACTGGACTCTTGGCCTTTGCAAGAGTTGCGAGACCAACCCGGGCAGCGCCAAAGAGCGCCCGAAACTTCGGGCTGTGGGCCCGATGAAGATCTTCAAGAGTTAACACATAAGACCTCGAAGGGACCTGGGGACACTCCCGCCTGACCTGCTGCCTCTGGCCAGGCTTGGCCGCGGCGGCCTCTCTCGGCTTAATTATTTAATTACCTCAGGGCTACGCGCCTCTGGCGCGCCGGCAGAGGCGTGGCCACCAGCACGCCTACCTCTTTGCAACCTTTACCTGAGGACACTCCAACTCGTGCCTCAGGGCACGGTGGCGGATTGCACCGTCGCCTTCTTCTAGCCAGAGACAAGACCAGCCCAGCACCATATGTTGTCGCCACGATCCAGTTGGTTCAACTGCAGAGCGGGCAACATCCGCCTGAACCAGGACGCCCAGTGCGACGCCAGTTAGCGATCGCGTTCCTTTCCCTGGGCGTTGAAGATTAGGTTAGCTTAGGCACCTTGGTCAACTTCGTTTGATCGGAAGCCAGTGTCAGCTCCTCATTGGGATGCCGGTCGTTTAATGTTTGAACGTTTCGCGTTCACCGCCTGGCCATGTCAGTTCTCGCCGGAAGAGGCGAAGACGGCCCCAAGACGGGATGGAGCCTTTCAGAAATATGAGAATACCCTCCCGCATGTGTGCGCGTGTGGTTTGCATTTCTTCCTTCATTCCATCCCCTCTCCATCCAATTGCCGAATGGGCTCAAGTATGCCGTATGGCTGACTGGTGCCCGTCATCATCACCAACGATTAGTGATGTGGACGCTGGCTCCTTGGACGTCTGCTCCTATCGACCGCCGGTGGCAAGAAATAGCAAATAGCCAGAACACCACCAAACATTAAGATAATACGGCCTGACAAAGGCTCACAAGCCGCCAACGCAAAACAAAGGCTCCCCAAAGGGGTCCAAAAGGAGCCGAGATGTGCCCGGGGCGGCCTAGGCGGGCAGCTGGACGGCCCATGCGCGATCGCCCCCGCGTTGGCCCCGTCCACGTCCAAATTTCCTTGGGAATTGGGCCAGGATCTGAGCTGGTGTGAGCGTCGTGTTGGGGTTCAGGCTGCCTTCAGAAGCATCCAGCATGGACCCCGAAGCGCGTCTTGAAGCGGCATAGAGAAACATGCGCGCTGAACCCGAACGTCAGCTACAACGAGGCGTCCGGGCGACCCCTGGCGAGGCTAATCTTAAGTCGGGCCTGTCCCTCCACAAGAGGGAAATTCAAGATACAGACGGTGGACGATGTGTTGGAGCATCTTTTGGCTATGTTTGTTTTTTGGGGGGGGGCATTTTAAATTATTCGTCCAACACCCCCCCTGTAAGGGGGACGTGCCCGACCTAAGGCGAAACTCGTCCTGACTTACTGCAGGGTCGGGGTTGTTCAGATGTTTCTTGGCCTTTTTGGGGCAGGGGGGGGGAAATGAGAAGGGGAAGGCCTTCTCAGAAGGCGGCGGGACTTTTCAGAAACCCTCGCGCCTTCTGGGAAGGTTTCTGCGTGTTCGGGGAAGGCTCAGAAAACTTCCCAGAAGGCCGGGGGACTTCCGAGCCTTCTGAGAAGGCTTTCGCAGTTATCCCCCTCGCTCGCCGCCTGTCTTTGTGGGCGGGGGGAGGGTGGAGGGAGCGGAGGGGGGGGCTCCCCTGTGGAGGCTGCAGGAGGGGCCCCACGGTAGGTCTCCACTGGGGGCCGGCCGGCCTTGAATCTTTGGACGTGGTGCAGTTTCTGGACATGCGCTCAGGGCCGCCCCTTGCGGAGCTGGTGCGGGCGCCATCCCCGCGGCCAGCGGGGGGGGGAGGGAGCGGAGGGGGACGAGGAGGGGGACGAGGAGGACGAGGAGGAGGAAGAGGAAGAAAAAGAGAGGAGGGCGAGGAGGGGGAGGAGGGGGAGGCAAGCTAGGTGCGCTCGCGTCATATCTGACGTCCTACCCCTCCCTCCCATCCCTTACCATGGCGCTGATTTTCTCTATCCGCGGACGCGTGTCGTAGCGGACCTGTGGCTCCGCGCGCGCGTGCGTAGTGGGTGGTGGTGCGCGTGCGTGCGTGCGTGCGTGTGTGCGTGGTTGTGGTGGTGGTGGTGGTGGTGGTGGTGGTGGTGGTGGTGGTGGTGGTGCTGGTGCTGGTGGTGGTGTGGTGCTGGTGGTGGTGGTGGTGCTGGTGCTGGTGGTGCTGGTGTGGTGGTGGTGGTGGTGGTGGTGGTGGTGGTGGTGGTGGTGGTGGTGCGGCGCGGTGGTGGCGGGCGGATGGGCGCGCGAGAAAGAGGCCCGCGCTGGGGCGAGAACGCCATCCTGAACGACGGAGGCCAAACACCGATCCGAAAATGAGGCCCACGCTGCAGCGGGAGCACGATTCGGAACGATTCGGGAGCAGAAGTGAGGCCGGCGCCTCAGCGAGAGCAGCATTTTGAAAAACAACGCAGGCGAAAACCCGTTTCCCGGGAATCCTGTGTGTAAAAAAACAGTACGCTTGGGGGGTCGGCCATCTTCGGGACGCCATCAGGGGAAGTGGGAGAGTATTTTCATATTGTGTAATTGTAGAAGGAGGAGGAGGAGGAGGAGGAGGAGGAGGAGGAGGAGGAGGAGGAGGAGGAGGAGGAGGAGGACGAGCAGGAGGAGGAGGAAGAAGAGGAGGGAGAAGAGGAAGAAAAAGAGGAGGAAAAAGAGGAGGAGGGGGACGAGGAGGAGGAGGAGGACGAGGAGGAGGACGAGGACGAGGACGAGGCCGAGGAGGAGGAGGAGGTTGAGGAGGAGGAGGAGGAGGAGGAGGAAGAGGAGGAGGAGAAAGAAGAAGATCACGAGGGGGAGAGGGAAGGCGGAGCCACTCCGCGAGGCACGCGAGCGCGGCGAGGGCTGGTTTGCCGCCGTCGCGCGTGCGCCGCCCAGCGGCGCGGGCGGCCTTGGCCGCGCGCGGCCAGTGCTGGGGAGGGGAGCGGGTCACGGGCTCGGAAGGAGACAGGTCTTGAGTCATCATGAGGGAAGCGGGCCCCGAGAGTCACGGGGGCGTGTGTGGGGCTTCGTGAGGTCCTCCACGGGCCCCGGGACTGTCAGACAACGACACAGGGTGACGAACCGGTCCTGGGGGGAGGCCCCAGGGGTTCGGGACCTGTTTCCCTCACGACCCGCTGCCTTCATGCCAACTCAGGGCCCACCCCGCCGTCATGAAGCAACTGTGTCTTGCGGTAAACGTGTCGTGGGGGGTGTTTGACATTTTCGGAATCTGGGAGCCTTCCACGCAGGCTTCTGGATCTTCTCGTAGCTTCCTGGAGGCTCTCCAGCCTCCAGCCTTTTCTAGCTCTCTTAGCTTTCCGGAGATTTCAGTTCTACCCCAAAAGATTCTTCACCATGAAGGAGAGGTGTCCTGAGGGAAACGGGTCATGAGGTGTCTCGCCGTTTTCGGGCTCCCGTGGTCCTCCACGGGCCCCAGGATCGCCAGAAATCGACTCAGGACGACGAGGTGGTCCTGGGGGAAGGCCGTGGGGTCCAGGATCCGTTTCCATCAGGACCTGGCTGCTTCATGCCAAGTTCCGATTTGGTCCATCCGATTCGTCGATCTCGATGTTCCAGCGGTCCGGCGCGGCGAGGCGTTTGCAAGGCGCAGTTGTGGATCTTGGCGCAGCCGATCCGATTCGATGGCGGTTCCATGCCATGCTCAGGAAACGAACAATCGGGGCACCTGCGCCGATCCGAGAAATCCGCCTGGACCTCGGAAAGGTTCTGCTTACTAGGGTCATTGGTTGTTTCCTGAGATGCAGCCCGATCCGACGCACTTTCCGACCCGATCCGATATTTCCCGATGCGATGTTGGCTGGCCCTGCACCGAGCGGGCGCGAAGGTGGTCGCGCCACTGGGCTACCCCTCATGTCCCAAATCCCCGACGTCGTCTTTTTTCAAAGCGTCGACCACCGGAGGGTCTCGACACGTTCCCCAGAACTGGTTTCGCATCCTGAATCATTTTTCGACCGCCCCGAGGCCCCGTGAGGGCCCCCCGAGGCCGCAGGTAGTGCAGGAAGCCCTCCGTCGTGACTTCTGTCCTGGCTCGAGGAGGTCTGGGAGATGGCGTCGCAGTGGAGGGGGCCGCGGTGCTGGGCGGGCACTGGAGGATTCCAGGGGAGCCGCTCGCGGGCCTCCGCGGGTCCGCGGGGGGCCCTTGGCAGGCCCCTGGGAGCCGTGGGCGAGCAGCTCGGGACGGAGCCGTGGGCCACGGGGAAGTCGGCACCACCCAAGCAGACGTATTCGTAACTATGCGTGGCACAGGGGTTATGCGCACAGCGCCCTTGCCCCTTCGCCTCCTCCGCCTCCTCGTCATCAGCATCATCATCATCATCATCATCATCAGCATCATCATCATCATCATCATCATCAGCATCATCATCATCATCATCATCATCATCATCATCATCATCAACGTCGTCATCAGCATCATCATCATCAGCATCAGCATCAGCATCAGCATCAGCATCATCAGCATCAGCATCATCATCACCATCAGCATCAGCAGCATCATCATCATCATCATCATCATCATCATCATCATCATCATCATCATCATCATCATCATCATCATCATCATCATCCCGCTCCCCCTCCTCCTTCTCCTCCGCCTCGTCCTCCTCCCACCACCCTCCTCTGCTCCCGCTCCTGCTCCTGTTCCTGCTACTCCTCCTCCTCCTCCTTCTCCTCCTCATCCTCCTCCTCGAGCGCTCACCTGAGCATCGATTGTCGCGGGTAGCTCTTTTTGCCAACCATCCTGTGGTGTTGGGTCCTCGTTTTGAAGAGACGGTCCCCGCGTTCTCCTCCTCTCCTCTTCCTCCCCCTCAATCCTGCCGTCCGCATGAGTCCCCCCAACCCAGTACAGCGTTTCGTGGCCCCATAGGGAGCCCCTCCGAAGGTCCCAGTGCTACCATCCGCATGCGTCCCCACCACCCAGTACAGCGCTTCGTGGCCCCATAGGGAGCCCCACCGAAGGTCCCAGTGCTACCGTCCGCATGCGTCCCCCCCACCCAGTACAGCGCTTCGTGGCCCCATAGGGAGCCCCACCGAAGGTCCCAGTACTACCGTCCGCATGCGTCCCCCCCACCCAGTACAGCGTTTCGGCCCCATAGGGAGCCCCACCGAAGGTCCAAGTGATACCGCCTGCATGCGTCCCCCCCACCGAGTACAGCGTTTCGTGGCCCATAGGGAGCCCCACCGAGGGTCCCAGTGCTACCGTCCGCATGCGTCCCCCCTACCCTGTGCAGCGTTTCGGCCCCAGAGGAGCCCCACCGAAGGTCCAAGTGATACCGTCCGCATGCGTCCCCCCCAATCAGTACAGCGCTTCGTGGCCCCATAGGGAGCCCCACCGAAGGTCCTAGTTCTAACGTCCGCCTGCGTTCCCCCCCACCCAGTACAGCGCTTCGTGGCCCCATAGGGAGCCCCACCGAAGGTCCCAGTGCTACCGTCCGCATGCGTCCCCACCACCCAGTACAGCGCTTCGTGGCCCCATAGGGAGCCCACCGAAGGTCCCAGTGATACCGTCCGCATGCGTCCCCCCCACCCAGTACAGCGTTTCGGCCCCATAGGGAACCCCACCGAAGGTCCAAGTGATACCGTCCGCATGCGTTCCCCCCCACCCAGTACAGCGTGCCACCGAAGGTCCCAGCGCTACCGTCCGCATGCGCCCCCCACGCCCAGTACAGCGTTCCGTGGCCCCGCAGTGAGTCCCACCGAAGGTCCCAGTGCTATTGTCTGCGTGCGTCTCCCCCCTCTGTACAGCGCTTCGTGGCCCCATAGAGAGCCCCACCGAAGCCCCTGGGACTGTCCGCATGCGTCCCGGAAATCTAATTTGGCATTTTCGCCCCACCCAGTACGGCGTTTCGTGGCCCCATAGAGAGCCCCACCGAAGCCCCCAGTGGGACTGTCCGCATGCGTCCCTGAAACACAATTTTGGTATTTTCACACCACCCACTACGGCGTTTCGTGACCCCGTAGACAGCTCCACCGAAGCCCCCAGTGGGACCGTCCGCATGCGTCTCGGAAACCCAATTGGGCATTTTCACCCGCCCAGTACAACGCTTCGTGGCCCCATAGGGAGCTCCGCCGAAGCCCCCAGTGGGACCGTCCGCATGCGTCCTGGAAACCAAATGTGGCACACCCCTCGTACGCTTCGTGGCCCCATAGGGAGCTCCACCGAAGGTCCCAGTGCTACCGTCCGCATGCGTCCCCCCCACCCAGTACAGCGCTTCGTGGCCCCATAGGGAGCCCCACCGAAGGTCCCAGTGCTACCGTCCGCATGCGTCCACCCCACCCAGTACAGCGTTTCGGCCCCATAGGGAGCCCCACCGAAGGTCCAAGTGATACCGCCTGCATGCGTCCCCCCCACCGAGTACAGCGTTTCGTGGCCCCATAGGGAGTTCGCCCGACGGCCCCAGTTTTACCGCCCACATGCGTTCTCCCCACCCAGTGCAGCGCTTCGTGGCCCCGTAGACAGCTCCACCGAAGCCACCAGTGGGACCGCCCGCATGCGTCCCACACACCAAATTTGGCATTTTCACCCCACCCAGTACAACGTTTCGTGGCCCCATAAGGAGTTCGCCCGACGGCCCCAGTTCTACCGCCCGCATGCGTTCCCCCCCACCCAGTGCAGCGCTTCGTGGCCCCATAGGGAGCTCCACCGAAGAAAATATTCACAATTGCGGTACCCACAACTGCATATGGTTGGGTCCGTCGCCAGGATAATTTGGTGACTTACGTTGCCCCTGCAGAATTTGACCGCCCCGCCCGGCGACGGGGTCGAAACTGTGCTCAGTATTCGGGGCTCTGCTGGAAGAATACTTGATTCGATGTGTGGCGTTCCAGAAGGGCCTCGCCTTCGAGGGTCGAAGGAGTTGCCGTGTCTGCATCCGCGGAGGGCGGCGGAGATAGAGCGAGGCTGTTTTCGCCGGTGGAAGTAAGTGAAAGTCGACCTCCCAAGAGAGGATCGCATTGTCGGGTCCACGGTTCCCCCGCGGAGGGCGGCGGAGATAGAGCGAGGCTGTTTTCGCCAGCGGAAGCCGGCGGAAGTAAGTGAAAGTCGATTTCCCAATAGAGGAATGCATTGTTGGGTCCAGGGTTCCCAGATCGGGTATAGCCAGGACCCCAGTTGAGGGGAGCCGGTTAGTGATTGCGCCCCGAAACCCAACATGTGGATTGGAATCACTAAACCAGGTTTGCCGTAGATGGTGCTTTTCGGGTGACGGCAGTTCCGTTTAGTGGAACGGGGCGGGGGGGGCGTCCCCCAGTACACATCACCAAACCAGGTCCCTTTAAACCCAGTGGTGCCAACGCCCGACCAGACCCCGCGGAGGGCGGCGGAGATAGAGCGAGGCTGTTTTCGCCGGTGGAAGTAAGTGAAAGTCGACCTCCCAAGAGAGGATCGCATTGTCGGGTCCACGGTTCCCCCGCGGAGGGCGGCGGAGATAGAGCGAGGCTGTTTTCGCCAGCGGAAGCCGGCGGAAGTAAGTGAAAGTCGATTTCCCAGTAGAGGAATGCATTGTTGGGTCCAGGGTTCCCAGATCGGGTATAGCCAGGACCCCAGTTGAGGGGAGCCGGTTAGTGATTGCGCCCCGAAACCCAACATGTGGATTGGAATCACTAAACCAGGTTTGCCGTAGATGGTGCTTTTCGGGTTGCGGTACTTCTGGTCAGTGGAACGGGGCGGGGGGGGGGGGCGTCCCCCAGTACACATGACCCAACCAGGTCCCACCAAACCCAGTTCTGCCAACGCCCGACCAGAGCCCGCCACAGTATGTGTGCGTCGGCTCCTGAGGGGGGGGGGGCCGCGCGCGCTCGTGAACAGTACGGTGTATGCGCTCGGTGGCGGGCGCCGTCGGGTCATCCCGCCTGGAGCTGGAGTTGGTGTGGTCTGGCACATAGCGCGGCTTATGCGGCCTCCAACCCACCCGCCCACCCAGTAGAGAAACATACGCATGGATCATTTCTAAGTGCTCGAAAGTTCTTTGATTTTTGTTGGGGGCCAAGATCCTTTCATTTCGAACTGTTCGATCCTGGGCCTCTTCCTGGCCACTAGGGGGCCAGGAACAAATAGAAACGAGCACACTTAGAGATGAACACGATTCGAACTGAACGACGTGTACGGTGTGGGCGTCGGTGAAGGAATGCGCCCAGGGGCCCAGGATGTTGCGGACCTTGGAGGATTCCTTGTTTGATGAGGGTGGCGGTAATATCCACGGCCAAGCCTCGATTGGAGTTCCACTGGCCTCCAGACCCAGGATTCCTTATCTCGGCGTTCCTTATCCATTTGCCCCCACCGTAACGCCAGGCGCCCCACCCACACCCGTTGCAGCAACCCCCTTTTGTGTAGTGCATGGGGGTGCTGTTCGCAGTGCGCGGACAGCGCGTTTGCAGTGGGCGCAGGCATGCGCTCCTCCTCCCCTTCTTCCCTCTCCTCCCCACGGTTGCCTGGGCAGGCGCCAGTACGCAGCGATGCCCTCGCTTAGTTGTGTCTCCCTTGCTTCTCTGACTTATGGACATCGTCGGAACATGAGGCCTCGTGTGCCGTTTTGGGGTGGTCTTGAGGGCCTCTTGGGCCGTCTTGGAGCGTCGGAAAGTCGAAAAGGCGAGAACGCCCAAAACCTTCAAAAACGCAGCGGAACTCCGTGATGTTTGCTTCTGGGCGTCTTCGAGCGATCGTTCGGCGTCTCGGGGCCCTCTTGGACTGTCTTGGGGGTCTCCTGGGCCGTCATGGGAGCCTCGGCGAGCTCCAGGGAGGCGCCACGGTCGCCCAAGGAGCCCCCGGGAGCATGGCCAGTGCACGCAGCGAGGCGCTTCCCGATGAGGTGGGGGCCCCTCAGAAGATTACAGAAACCCTGCCAGGCAGCCCTTGGCATCCGACCACGCCTCAACGTGCCAGGGGGCACGGTGGCAGACTTCATGTTTTTACTGGCTTCTTCTGACCGGCGTGTGTGGGGGAGAAGCTATCTCTAGGCCTCCCAGATGGGGTCCGAGTAGATGGGGTCGGGGGATCGCGCCACATCGCCGATGCATCGGCGATGGGGCTCGATGTGGAACCAAATTTTCTCCACGCCGACGGCGCCGATGCATAGCCGACGTCGCCGATGCGTCGGCGATGCATCGGCGGTGCGTTGGCGATGCGGCGCGATCCTCCGACCCCACCTGCTCCGACCTCATCTGAGGCGCTTGTTCCGACGTGCCAGGGCCATGATGTGTTGTCGCGCCGCTTGTTCCGACGCGCGGCCTTGGGGAGGGCGCCTCGGCCACCAGGGGAAACGCCGCACTTGGGTGTCGTCCACTTGGGCGCGTCGAAAACAAGCGGCGCGGCAACAGATCTCCCCAGATTTCCTGGCCGCTTGTTCTTGTCTCTGTACGCCCCTTTGCACCCTCCTGGGCAGCGCGCGCGCCTCGAGCCATGACATGCGAGCCCCCCTCCCGGACGCCCCCCGTTTGGACGCCCTCGAAGAGGGCAGGGGGTGAGACGCGGACGGCCTTGGGACGGGTGTCCGTGGCCTGCCTGGTTGAATTGTTTCTTACCCCTCAGCGGCAGCTGCAAAGAGAGAAACTGTGGGGGGAGGGGGGGGGCGGGGGCGCGCTTCGAAGACGCCCCCCGCCTGGACGCCCTCGAAGGGGGGGGAGAGAGGAGGCGCAGAGAGGGGCGACACGCTCGGTCTGGTGCGAGCGGCGGCTGGGCGGCTGAGGCCGGGGCCAGGCCAGGGGCCCCACCCTGGCTGCGAGCGCCCCCTAGAGGAGAGGAGGGGGAGGAGGATCAGGAAGAGGGAATGGAGGAGGAGGAGGAGGAGGAGGAGGAGGAGGAGGAGGATAAGGAAGAGGGGGAGAAGGTGGAGGAGGAGGAGGAGGAGGAGGAGGAGGAGGAGGAGGATAAGGAAAAAGTGGGGAGGGAGGAGGAGGAGGAAGAGGAGGAGAAGGCAGAGGGGGAGGAGGAGAAGGAGGAGGAGGAGGAGAAGGAGGAGGATGCGGGCGAGGAGGAGGATGAGGAGGAGGAAAAGGAGGAGGAGGAGGAAGAGGAGTAGGAAGAGGAGGAGGAGGAGGAGGAGGAGGAGGAGGAGGAGGAGGAGGAAGAGGATGGGGAGGAGGAATCGACGGACGGCATGCTGCTGCTCGAGGGAGGGCGACGTGCATAACCATGAACCTTCGTAGCTCCGTGCGGATATCGTGCATCTGCGGTGGACCCCCCTGGTAGTGCATCCAGAGCCGCCCCTGGCGCTCTCCGCCGAAGGAGGGGGGTCCAGCGCCGACCCAAGAAATCCGCGCGCACCTCCAGACGTTTGTGATTATGCAGTGGTTTCCCAAACATGCGTTAGCATGGTTTTTACCTGGCAGTCAGATTTGCGTTATCGGAGGCCTTTGCTGGCTTTGCTGATGTGGTTGCTGTTCATGTCGTCGTTGCTGTTCCTGTGTTTGTATTGTTGTATTTCTTGTTGTTAATGCATTGCTGATGAGGCTACCGCTGATGTGGTTGCGCCCTGTCCTTCGAAATCTGGGGACACTATTCTGATGATGAGTTTACCGCTGGTGTGGTTGACCCTCGAAATGTGGCGACCCTCACAGGGATGGCGCCCCTCCCGTCGGGGTGGAGGCCTCTGCCGGCTCTGTGGGCCAGCTGAGGGCCGGGCGCCTTGGCCCTCGAAAAGTGGCCACCCTCACGGGGATGCTGGCGCTCCTCCCGGTGGGCCGGAGGCCTCCGTGAGCCTGGCGCCTTGGCTTTCGAAAGTAGTGGCCACCCTCACAGGGCTGACGCCCCTCCTGGTTTGGCCGGAGGCCTCTGCCGGCTCTGTGGGCCGGGCGCCTTGGATTTCGGAGAGCAGGGATCTTCACGAGGGCGGCGCTCCTCGCGGTGAGCTTGGAGGCTGTAGCAGAAGGGGTTCTTACCTTCTTACCTGGTCATAGGCATTGGGTTGTTTGCGACCCCTGCCAGCTTTGCTGATTGTTGTTGCTGCTCATGCCGTAGTTGTGGTTCGTGTGTGTTTGTGATGCTGCTTTGATAGTTGCTGTTTCCTTGCTGATGCGGCTGCCGCTGATGAGGCGTTTGCCTGTGGGTACCAAGTTGCTGTTTGCTACATGACATTGCCACTGATGTGGCTGCTGCTCATGTCGCCCTTGCTGCTCATATGGTTGTTGTGTTGTTGCTCGCGTTGCTGTTCACATGGTTGTTGTGGTTGTAAGCTTGTTAGTGCTGCTGTTCACCAATTATGTTTCAGCATCAAGGGGCTCTTCGGGCGACATCGCGAGGGCCAGCCGTCGTCGTCTTCTGCTCACGCGGCGTTCCCTCGCGCGCGAGGGTCGCGGTTCATCTCCGCAGGGCTCTTCGCGAGCACCTTTGCGGCATGAAGGTTCGTGAGGTGGATAGAAGAAGTTCGTCGCACAACCCCGTTTGACTCGCCCCGCGGTCGGATCGGAGGTTATGGCCGTCGCCTCTCCAATTCAGTGAAAGAAAGCTTCCGCTCCCAAGTCATTGGCTCGTCAGTGTTCCCCCCTATCGTACGATGTGCAGGTGATGTTGTCAGTTTCACTTTCTCCTGCTTCGTATTATGTCGGCCTGACTTGTCCCGGCGTTCCCCAGAGGGCATGTTCAGTCCCAGGGCGTGGGGAGGAGGATGAGGAGGAGGGAGCGAGAATTGGTAACGAACGGAGGAGGAGGAGGAGGAGGAGGAGGAGGAGGAGGAGGAGGAGGAGGAGGAGGAGGAGGAGGAGGAGGAGGTAGGAGGAGGGAGGAGGGAGGAGGAGGAGGAGGAGGAGGAGGAGGAGGAAGGGGGAGGAGGAGGAGGAGGAGGAGGAGGAGGAGGAGGAGGGGAGGAGGCGGAGGAGGAGGAGGAGGCGGAGGGAGCGAGAATGGTTAACAATTGGAAGAGCAGGAGGAGGGGATGCTGTCGCCCCAGGCCTCTCTGGAAGCGCACCCCCATGCCGGCACCACGCCTCCTGGAGTAGGAGGTAGTGAGACGAACAGAGCAGAATAATAGAGGAGGAGGAGGAGGAGGAGGAGGAGGAGGAGGAGGAGGAGGAGGAGGAGGAGGAGGGGATGATGATAAGGAGGAGGAGAAGGAGGAGGAGGAGGAGGAGGAGAAGGAGGAGGAGGCCGAGGAGGAGAGGGAGGAGGAGGAGGAGGAGGAAAAGGGGGAGGAGGAGGAGGTGGAGGAGGAGGAGGAGGAGGGGAGGAGGAGGAGGAGGAGGGGGAGGAGAAGGAGGAGGTGTCTCATCTCCTTCCTCTGTCTTCTCCTGGGGTCGAGCCCCACAATCTTGTCATACCCTTGCGTCCCACTTCTTCCCTAATGAGCCCCCGCTCCCACCCAGGTCTTTGCCAGATGGGAGGGGCAGGACAGGCTTGCACGGCGACAGACATCGTCTCTTACAGCCGTTAGCAGCAGCAGTCGGAAGCTGGGCGAGGGCTGCTAAAAAAGCGTGGCTGCTAAAACGGCCCTCCCCGAAGGAAAAAACAACTTCCCGGAATGAGGCGCGGCACGCGAAACAGTCAACGGGCTTCTTCCCGGAAGGACGAAGACAATTTCCCAGAGGGCGATTTTAGCAGCCACGGATTTAGCAGCCCTTCAAGGGCAGCCCACGGATTTAGCAGCCGGGCAAGGGCCTTGCCACGGATTTAGCAGCCCTTGCCCGGCTTCCGAAGCAGCAGGAGGAGGAAGCGTCGCCTCGGGCCTCTCGACGGCCCTCCCCGCCGCCGAGGCGCGTCGGAGAAGTGGGACACGGCCGGCCGCGCCAGCGGCAAGGGCGGGCCCAAGGCCCAGGACGGGCCCCCCCCCCCGCACGCAGAGCAGGGACCGCGTCGGGCAAGAGCCGGCGGTGCGCCGAGGGGGGGAAGGCGACAGGGGCAGGCGGTGCGCCTCCTCATACGGGCTGGCCGTGCTTTCCTGCTTTCCCCCCCCGTCACCAACGCCTCCCTGGTAGAGACGAGGCCACGGTATGCATTTGAAGGACGGGCAACTTTCCAAGGTTACCCTTGCACCCCACCCCGTTCGGCCCATCCTTGGCCGGTTTGGCTGGCCGCGCCCCGCTCGCATAGTGTCGGCATGGCCTTCCAAGGCCTTTGCGGGTTGGCTGCGCTTTCCCCCGCCCGTCCATTGCCTGCCTCCGCCGCTCCTCTCCCTCCCTCCCTCCGAGTTCCTGTCGGCGGCGAGCGAGGGGGGGAAGTGATGAGGAGAAACCTTTCTCGGAAGGTGGCGGGGCTTCTTAGAAGCCCTCTGGCCTTCTGAGAAGTTTTCTGTGTCTTCGGAGGAGGCTTAGAGCACTTCTCAGAAGGCCGGGGAGCCACGGGAGCCTTCTTTTCGGCCTCCCAGATGGGGTCCGAGTGGATGGGGTCGGAGGAATGCGCCGTGTCGCCGATGCATCAGCTGATGCATCGGCGACGCGGCGCGATGCGGAGCCCGATTTGCTCGATGCCGACATCGCCGATGCGTCGCCGACGTCGCCGATGCATCGGCGATGCGGCGCGATCCTCCGACCCAATCTATTCGTACCGGGTTCTCCCCGCGGTGTCGGAGTTCGTCTGTCGCCACTTCCAGTGTGCTGACTGCGGGCACGTGATCCGTCCTTTTCAGGGCTTCTGGTGTGCGGCTTTGCTGGCGCCGCCCCATTCACCCGTCCGGCCTTGGTTCTCAGCTTGGATCCCCGAGTTGGTTCCACGGTTCCGTGGTGCCCTCGCGCCATTTTAGCCGCGATGCAGCTTGGCTGCTCTTCGCACTTGTGCGTGCTGCTGCTGTTGGACCTCCTGGCCTCGGCCACCCTGGTACCGCCGATGTACATGCCCAGTCTGGGCACCCAATTCGACTTCCGACCGTCGGTTTACCTGGCTGCGGCCACCCTGGTACTTTCGCAGTAGTCCGGGGGCTCGCGCCCTTGCACCCAATTCCCGTCTGCAGCTTTCCCTGGTTGCCGGTTACCCTGGCCGCCCGCTGCTCCGACCAGTGGCGCGCGATTTTGGCAGTATTGGTGACCCGCCTACCGCCTGCCCTGTCCACTCGACGGCTCGCCGCTGAGGTGCTGCGTGAGCCCCCGGTCCACCGCTTTAGGTTAATTCGTCTGTGCGCGCCCCGCTCTGACTGGACTCGCCGCTGGCGCGCTCGCCTGCGGCCGCTAACCAACAAATCCACACCAGCCCCAGCGCCCACGGCATCCTCTTGCTACCTCGACCCGGATTTGAGGTGCGGGCCTTGGTGTCCCAGCAGCCGTCAGCCGCCGGTTCCAGCTCGAGAGTGCGTGTGGCTACCTGATCCGGTGGTGCGGGAGTTTACGGTGTCGAGTACGTCCACCGTGTCCCTGGCTGCTCGCCCGTCCCTGGGTAACCTCGCGGACGGACTTCTCAGGATCAGTACTTCCTACTGGGAACCGGGTGTGCGATTTTGGTGGCGCCACTCAGTGCACCAGTTTGGGCCTTTCGGCGCGCTTGGCAGTCGTCGCAAATACTCGCAGATACTGGCTCGCCGCCCCCTGGTCCCATTCTGGCTTGCAGCCCGCGCCATTTTGGCCGCGCACCAACCTTGGTTGGCCAATTTGTGCGCTGCCCTGGTTTAGCCCCCGGCAGCCGCAGCCTGCACCCCACCCGCCGGCCCTGCCCGCCGTGGTGATGCCTGAGGCCCCGCTGGCTTTAGGTAATCCGTCATTGCGCGGCCCGCTTTGATTCGAGTCGCCGTTTGCGCTTTCGCTTGCGGCAGCTGACTAACAAGTATCCACACCAGCTCATCCAGAAACGAGGCCCAGGCGACTTGGCGGGAGGAACAAGTATGTAAGCCTATTGGAGATATCTGGGAGTTCTTCGGGCTGGAAGCCATTGGGGCCCTCGTGGGGCCCTCTCGGGGGTTTGGTGGGTTGGGGGCCATCTGGACCTTTTTGGTGGCCATTTGTGCAGGCCACATCGAAAGCAAAACGAGGCGGCGTGAATCACGTAGCGGCGTCCCTCTGGAGCCCGAACGGATGCCGCTTGAGGTCCTCTTGGGGCGCTCTGAGGGCCGTCAGGGGCTAATTTTAGCCCCCCCTTCGGGCTTTCTTGGGCGAGCTTGGGGCCATCTTGAGGCCTCAGAGGCCCATCGGAAGCGAAATAGCGAGAAGGCAACACAAATTGAAACATCGCAGGTGTTTGAATGATTCGGGCCTCTCGGGAGTCTCCCTGGGAGACTCCGCGGGCCATCTTGGAGCGATTGTCCAGGTGGACTTGGGGCCCCATGGAAGCATGTTCGATGTCATTTTGGGCTAGATTGAGCAATAGTGGAAGTCATCTTGGGCATTCCAGGGCCATTTTGGAGCCATCTTGGATGCTCTAACCCCTTGCCTCTCCCCCGTCCAGACCCAGGGGAGGGGATTGGGGGATGGGTCAAGCTAACTACCCTGAGCCACAAGCCGTGTCTCTCACTCCCACCCGCCCACCAGAGTCTCAGCACATGCAGGGGCCGTGATCGACAACCATCGGCAACCAATCCAGACGCCAGCCAGGCTTGCGATGCCCGCAGGGTGCGCCGCACGTGCCAGGTGCGCCACGCGCAACAGGTGCACCACATGTCATTCGCCTGCTAGTGGGAGTCGCAATTTGGGGGTCAGTGAACAGTATATTGGTTATCGCTTTTGTTTCGCAGCTGCACGCGGTAGTTGGGATGCGATGTTCAACCGAACATATAGGAATAAGGCGTTCTCGTTGCTTCCCCTAGTTCTAACCAGCATAATCATGTGACAAAGCACCCGAGATCATCAGCAACGCAAGTCGGATGACCGATTTCGCAACTTCCCACCCCCGTAAGCAGCCATTGCGTTGCCCTCTGGCACCGCCGGCCTTTCCGCTTCTGGCACCGGGGGGGACTCCGGTTTCGCAAACGCTAAGATTGTTTCGTGACCGCCTGGGGATGCCGCGCGCGTCGCCGCCCGCATGGTTCGTGGCACCAAAATGGCATCGGCACTGAAGCCGCCCACGTGGATCGTCAAATCCAGGGGGCAGTGTCGATGATTCCGCCTACTTGCATGGCGCCCATCTCTCGCGGTACATGAACTTTGCCGCTGCCCGCATGGATCCCGATGCTAAGGGAAATCTGCGGCAGGATTGAGACAGAACGCGGTCCGAATGGTTTTCGGCCGCGTTGTTTTTTGTCCGCTGTTCCTCTTCCCGCGAGGGGTTCCGTGTAAATAATAACCAAGCGGTGTCCTGTTGTTTTCTCCACATGAGTTCGCTGCGCAACGCTTTATGTTTCTAGCACATCGATGTTTCATGTGTTATAATTTTCCAATTCGACAGCAATCATAGTGCCCTCCCTGATTTTCCACCTTTCCTCCCTTCTCGATCGGCCTTCCTCCCCCCAGATGGGCTGACGCATAACTATTCATTATGCGATCGATTATCTGTTTGCCCCCGCTTTGGCCAAGATTTCGCGCCGCCAAACTCCCGGATTCCTCTTATATGCCCGCGTGGGACGTGCGGACCAGACAGGGGAATATCCTTATCTTGTCACGCAATGGCAGGGCGCCCTGATTAAGATAGTGGACGGTTCACCGAAGCCGCGTCGCTTCTCCCGCCGACGAGCTCGCGCAATTTTGACCGCCGCCGCAAGAAACAACGCTGGTGCGCCCGTGTTCGCCATTCTGCGCCGACCCGCCTTGTTCGCGGCCCGCGAGACGCGGAGACCGCTGGGCTCTCCTTCGCGAACTGGCCGCATCGAGAGACGAGCAGGGCGGCAGCCAAGCCCCGGGCGCTCACGAGGCCGGCGGCAATGGCCAGCGCTTTTGTCAAGGCATTCGATATTTGCGTAGCGGGCGTCAGAGCCACCAGGGCCCAGCATAGCGGATGATTCGGCTCCTGAGCCAGAGATTTCTCATGTGCCCGTGCGTCGCCCACAAATTTCAACCATCCCTTGCACTCCCTCGTGGATCTCGCGGAGGCAGAAGCAAAATGGCTTGGTAGAGCAACTGTGTATTTCCCCACGCATCCCCACGTTCTTCAAAGAAGCCGTTCAGTGGTGCAGAAAAATCAAGTTTTCCTCCGAATTTCTTGAAGGGGCGGTCCATTCCCAGCGTCTTCGGATCAATTCCAACTGCCACCCCCGACAGTCGGACCCCCAGTCATGAGCACTCGGTAGCTGGGCAATGCGTTCACTGCCCCACCGTCCTCGTCAAACGCCCGTGCAGAGTGACGGCTGGTTTTTGTGCGCATCGTGCCTTGTGCGAGGGCGTGCACCCGCAATCGCTGTGCACGTGTTCTGTCGGGGACGGGGGGCTTGCGAGGAGGAGAAGGAGGATGAGTCAATGAGGAGGAGGAGGAGGAGGAGGAGGAGGAGGAGGAGGAGGAGAAGGAAGAGGAGGAGGAGGGGGAGGAGGAGGAGGAGGAGGAGGAGGAGGAGGAGGAGGAGGAGGAGGAGGCGGCATGCCGCCCTCCCGCTGTTCCCGACAGAGTGATTGCCTGGATGCTCTGTTGGAAAGAACGGCGGGCCCGCACCCCGCAGGCACAATGCCGCCCCTGGGCCCCCCGCCGCTGCTGTCAGAAGCAGGAGCAGAGTGATCGCGGGGCACCCGAGCATCGCTCGGACGACTGACGCCAGCACCAACGCCAGCGCCTGCGGAGGCACCAACGCCGGCGCCTACACAAGCACCGACGCCAGCACCGACGCCAGCAACAACGCCGGCGCCTACGCCGGCACCAAAGCTGGCACTGATGCCAGCATCAGCGCCAGCACCGACGCCAGCACCGACGCCAGCGCGAAGTCGACGCCTACGCTGGCACCAACGCCGGCACTGACTCCAGCCTCAGCGCCGG